GTTATTTCCTACCAAACAGAAGAAGAACTCTTCCCTGCAGTTCCAGAGATGTGAGAGGTCACTTCATGAAAATAAAGAAGGATCCTGCAAAACCAGGGATGGCAGGTAATGCAGGAGAACTGTGCAGGGTGTCCTATATCTGAAGAGTGAAAACTGGATTTGGTGTGTTTTAAACCAATAAAGCAGATCTTTCCTTTCTGAATATGGTGTTCTCCACCACATGTAAGACAATGCAGCATGGAAAAATGTTGGCTTGGACACATAGGGAGAGCTCTAGGGGAGAAAAGAAGTGGATGGATGTATGGTTGTCCCATAGTGAAGGGCACCTGGAAGACCAGGAGTGAGCTGAAACAGCCACGGGCTGGGAATATCACCCACGGGTGAGCATGGACAGTGGGACAAGGAAGGCACTGGTGAAGATTGGGAGCTTGCTGGTAGCACCTGCTGGATAAAGAAGCACCATCATGGTAGGACTGGAGCAAGCTTCTCATGCCTCTCCTGCAGAACAAGGCTAGAGCAGAGTTGATCCTGCTTGGAGCATCTTTTGCGGGGACACGTGAATCTGAGTTACAATGCGTGGAGATGGTTATTGCAAAGCCACTTTATTTATGGTGTTTTTGTTGGCAGGGGAGTGGGAGTGCAATACAATTTTAGCCACTCTGATGTCTCTGTGTCCCTTACATCCCACCTTCATTTCTAGAGCAGTTTTTTTTTCTCTTCACATTACATGATTCCTCAAACTCTACAGGGTGCTTTCTGCACCTGAAATGGTACAAGATTAGCTGGATGGTCTTGCACAGCAGAGTTAGGTGTAGGCACTTCTGGGACAGGTGGTATGTCTCCACCATCATCACTAGTCCTAGTCCCCACCTGCTGCAGGCAGGAGAATCTTTTTGCATAGGACTAGGATTTGAGTGAAGCTCAGCCAGGATGAACTTGCACATGAAGAACAATGCACCTAAGACCATGAGCTGCAGGGAGCACAGCTCTCAGACACTAACAGGGACAGTAACAACCCAGCCAACAGCACCTTTTTTTGTCATTTTAGAAAGATCAGAGTGTGTCTCCAGAGCCCCCAAGTCAGAGACCAGCACTCAGTTATGCTCCACTTCTCCAAGCTCACACAAATCTCTCCCACCTCCCACTGGCACTAACCCCTGGATCACACAACCCTTTCGAAACACACCCAGAGAACGCTTTTGTCTCTTCCTGTCCTTTTCAGATATTTTGGGTATTTGTGGCAATCTCTCCTGTTTATATAACAAAGCCACAGCCCAGTGTTTGTGGCACCATATCCATGGAAACCCTAATATAGCATGCACAGGCGACTAGATCTCATTAGGTGGCTCAGCTGCGGCAGCACTGGGGAGGGAGTTTCTCTGGGCTGCTCAAGCAGCCTGGTGGGAAGGGTCTGGCTGCCCACCTGGCCTCGAGTGCCTGGAGATGTAGCACATCTCAAAGAGCAAATGATGCTCTTCTTTTGCTAATATTGTCCTTTCTCCTGCTCTCCCATCCCCAGCTCACCATGACCACCCACCTTTCGCTCCACAGCAGATCCATGGGCGCATGGCTGGACCAGGAGGAGAGGCAGAACAGATGGAGCTGCTCAGCCATGGCAATCTTTACCTCTGCTGCTGGAGCAGGACCAGTGGGACAGAGCTGTGAAGAGCAGTTGAGGTCTAAATCTGCCACTCATTCAGGGAGACTCCTCTGGTGGCAGTGGGGAGGTCCAACTGCATGGTTGGTGCTGGGTCACCTTTGGATGCAGTTCCTACAGGCAGAAGTGTAATGGGTCACCTTTGGATGCAGTTCCTACAAGCAGAGGTGTAGGAAAAAGAACATTTGGGTGGATCTGACCAGAGAAATTGCACACAAGATCAATCAGAGCAGGGGTCTCTGTGACCCTGCGTGATTGCCCACCCACTTGAGCATCCCCCCTACATGCCAGCCCACTCTTCCCCCTTCTCACACCACGTCAGGTCCAGACTGAGTCAGACACTGCCAAACCTCATCAGCACCGAGGCCAATTCGATGCTGTGGCTGGTTGGCCGTGCATGGGGGCTGTGAATGGCAGAGCCTCAGGGCACGGAGAGCTGCACTGGCTGTGGGAGCAGACAACAAGCTTCCCCTCCCTGCCCTTGCCCAAATTGAATTTCCATTTCTGTTAGCGAGGCAATGGATTATAGCTCGGAGGGGTGCTGCCTGCTTCTCTCCCTAATTTGGCGCATCAATTGTGTTTAAACCTACTTACCTGTAAGGCAGCCTTTGTTCCAGGCAGGCAGCCCTCACTCCTGCCGATGGAGGCAGCTGCTTCCCCAGCTCCCTGCCACTAATGCCAGGCACTGCTGCTGTCAGGGCTCTGGAACCCACAGTTTACCTCCAGCTTTGTGTTCAGGGTCATTAGTGGCAATGAAAGGCCATAATAGTTTGTCACCAGGAGGGTTTGGATCTGTGACTCTGCAGAGAATGGGGTCAGCAACACCCAGTGGGGGATAGACACTGTTGCTAGGGTTCATACAGCATCCAGCACATCCCAGCTAGGGACTGGGGAACTCAGGTAAGCACTGTCCAGCAAAACCAGTCCTTGTCTGGAGCTCACAATACACTCCAGGTGTTCCCTGGGCATTACTGTGCCCTTGGCTGTTTTCTGCCAGGGGGTCTGAGTGGAGAGGGACCTGGGGGTGTGCAAGGACACATGGGAAACCACTCTGCATCACCCCTGAGCAGTCAGGAGTTTCAGAGTCAGGAAACTGGCACTTCTACATCTCCTTGAAGTCTTAAAATAAACACCCAGAGCAATGAGTGGAAAGCTGGATCCTCACTCCTTACCTGGATTTATGAGCCACAACTAGGAAGAAACTGAAGGGGGGGGAGAGAGAGAAAGATGTATGTAATTTTTTTCTCTTCAAATAAATTCTCACTGCTTATCTGCAAAGTTCAGCTGTTTTCAAGCTGACCTGCCTGTGTTATGCTGTTCCACTGCAAATTCCTTCTGAACAGGAAAGCTCAGGAGCTCCATTTGCACACGCCAGCAACCTGGGGTTTCATCTCTAATAGACTGAGACAGAATTCATGGGTTAAGGACCCCCTCCTGCCACCCAGTGAGGATCACTTGCCTTCCTGCCATGCTGGCAGCTCAGCTTCTTCTCTTTACAATGAGGAAACAAAGCCAAGAGAGGAGGACAAGTGGGTGAATCTACTTGGAGGAGGTCAGGAATGGGGAAAGACAAAAATCTGTTCTCAGGAGCTTTTGTGACGTAGCCAGACATCTGCTCGAGCACCAGGGCTGGAGGGTGAGGGACATCCATCTGATGCCTTCAGTGCATCCAGGAACAAGCCCAGGAGCCTCAGGCAAAGGGAGTGATGCTCATGCTCCTTCAGGAAGGTGAGTGGAGCCGTAGATTGGTTGAGGTGCAGACCCAGTTCCTCAGGCAGGAGCCCAGGGCACCTCGAGGGCTCAGTTCACAGCTCCAGTGAATAGAGTCCCAAGAGATGCCACAGTGGGAGCCTTCCCAGGCAGGAGCAAAATCCTCCTGCACATTATGCTATCCAGACATGTGTTTTTAGGGCTGACACCCACAGCAGTGGGAAGGCTGGTGTGGGACTGGACTGTGCACTGGGGCCACTGGACCCATGGGGTGTGGGATAGGGCAGTGGGATGCTCATCTGGGAGAGCTCAGCTCTCTGCCTTTCTCTCTGCATTGGCCTTTTGCCTGATAAAGCTGAATGAGAGAGCAAACCCTCTAACCAGCAGGTCACCCCACAAGGAGAGATGCTCTGGATCAATTGACGCATTCCTGAGTAATGGTTATGTCTTAGGACAGTAAAACCTCATCGAATTTAACGTGGAGATGCACACATTGATGATTCATTAAAACACCCGGGCACTGAGCTGAATCTATTTCCTCTCATTACACAGGGCTGAGAAACGTGGATCTGCCCCTGTGACATTGCTGCAAGGACCAGGAGTGAAACCCAAGACCCAGAGGGGACTGGAGGGGACTCCATACAGAAGGTATCTGAGAGCATTGCCTGTCACGTGAGCTGGCATTAATAAAACAAGACCACAAACTCAGAGACTAAAGCAAGACAGTGTGTGTGTATCAAAGAGCTTGAGGCTGTTCATTATAATTCCAATTAACGTAGAAAAGTTAATAACTGAAAGAGAATACAGCAGCCTTTAAACAAATGAGAAGGGGGATGGGGAGAGACAAAAGGTATCTTTAAACTGGAGCCAAAGTCCCAGCTGCTACAAAAGCAAAGAAATAACAAATATGTAACACATCTAATGGTCCAGACAGGCAGGAGCTTTTGGTGGGAGCCAAACTGGGGTGGGAGAGGAGCTGAGTTTTGCATGGAGAACCTTATTTTTGGATGCTGTGCTGGGTTTGGAAGGGCCAGAAATAAATCAGACAAAGGCAAAAAAAGGAAAGGAGACAGAAGAGAGAAAAGAGGGGAGAGGGGGGAAGAGGAGAGGACAGGACAGATTTCATTTCCGACTGTTTGGGGGAAATCAACGTTTTCTGTGGAATTTAGCTTTCCAGGGAAAACCACTTCAAACAGTGTCAATATTACTTAATGCCTGGGAGCTCAGACCAGGCCCTGCTCACAGTCAGGTCTCCTTTGTGCTGTTTGGACACATTTGGGGTGATGTCAAGCAGAGTACATGGAGACCCAGACCAGAGGCACCACGAGCAGGGCAGAGCAAGAACAGCCTGTGAGCAAACAGCCCTTTCCAGCCACTAAGGAAGATTTAAGAGCGAATCACATCAGCCCAGTCAAATTCAATTGCTATTGATAATGTCCATGTGCAATTAGAGCCAATTAAGGGGAGGCAGAGAATGACAAGTGTTTGGCCAGGAGCTGGGGGTGGGGGGGTCAATATAACAGTCCAATTTCCCAACAACCAAATGCAATTAAAGACTATCACTTACCCAGCTTGCCCAGGAGGGCCAGTGCATAAATGGGCAAGGCCAGGCACGGGGTGCTGTCCTGGCAGCATGCAGACCTCGGGGAGCAAACCCTGCTCCTGCCCCAGCTTCAAGCTGCGGGAAATGGCATCCATGTACTTCACCATGATCGCGGTGTTCCTGGTCATCTTGGTGGTGGCTCTGCAGGGCTCAGTACCCCGTGGGAATGCTTTTCCCTCCAAGGGGCCTCTCTCGAGCTTTCCTGGAATGTCAGCTATCCCGAGCAAGCTGTGCATTTCCAGCTCCTCATCAAGGACCTGCGGTTTGGGCTCCTCTTTGGGATGTCAGACCGGGGCGAGTTCGAGAACGCAGACCTGGCTGTGCTCTGGAGTGATGGGCACAACTCCTATTTTGGGGTGAGTCATCTGTATGTTTGCATGGCTGTTTTGAGGCTCCCTCTCTGCTTTTGAGATTCAATCCCTGCAGGTGAATCTGACTCCTGGTTTGATAGAGTGGGGCTGGTCCAGGGCATGGTGCACGCTGGAGTGGTCTCACTGCTCAGGTGGAAGGGGATCAGAAAGGTCTTGGGGATTTCTATCCCAGAGGAATGCACAGATCAGGTCCATGTGATGAGTTTGATGAAGGAATTAAATTAAAAAAAAAGAATAAATACAGCAGCATATCAGCAATGCTGAGTGAAACCAAAACCTGGATGTCTCTGCTGTGTTTAGCTGCAAAGAGCTGCAATGGGTGATTGTACTGACCAGCTCACACACATACAGAGGATGCATCAACACCTTGGTTCACTAATGTGCTACTGTCAGCCACGTTAATAATTAACTACAGCTCCCACTAATGACTTTGAGACAGGGCAAAAGTCATCAGCCACAGAATCTGCTCTTGCCAGCACCGAGAACCCATCAGTGTCTCGTGTCCGACACCACCGCAGGGATCAACAGGCTAACAGGACAACCTGGGGTGCTGTCAGAAATTAAACATGCAAATGTATTTGAGTGATATGCAAACACTTGGTGGTAGCAAATAGGGAGGGAGAAACTAATTTCTAATTGTGCTGTTTGATATTGCTGCTGCAAATCTCCATCCTCTCCGACACAGTCTGTTCGTCCGGGTTCTTGTTTGGGTTGTCTTTCCACCCTGAGGCTCTCCAGTCCCATCCTCAGACCACCACGTTAGGCTTATTGTGATTGTGCTTGGCTGCAGCAAGCAACTCCCATTTTTTCCCTATGTGAGGCTTTCCAGTAAGTTAAATTTTACCTCTTTGCTTACTTCAAATTAACCATAAAACACATTCTTTCGCAATCAGCAGCAATGTGATCTGCAGCGTAATGAAAGCATGAAAAGAAGGGCTTATTATCTGCACTGTTTTCCTGCTAATTACCAGCCATTCAGGATCTGTGGTAGCCTGAATGCTACAGTATTTCACAGCATCATGTTAAGGAAAAGTTCATTTCTAACCTGCCTTCATGTTCTCACCGAAACACCGAGCAGCATTGGGGTTTGCTCTTTCACTTGGTGCTGAACAGCATCCTGCATGGAGCTTTCAATAAATCTCTCCAGTCCTGGTTTTCTCTCTCCCAGCATCCTTTCTTCTGGATAAGTATGTCAGCTGTTAAAAAGATCCAAATTTGCTTAACCCCCCATATACTAAGAGATTAATTTGCACACCATATTCCTATGAAAACAAATGTCATGCGAGCTCCATGTAGCTGATTTTACTCTCCCCCTCTAAGGACAATATGTTCTCGAAATATGACTCTATACTTCTGGCTGAAATGATGCCAAGTTGCTTTATTCTTTCGCTTCTGGTTTTTTCCTCCAAGATAAGAGGACCAGTGGCACTTGTGAACATACAGCAAGGTACTTCTTGGGTGCCTTTTCTCAGTAAACAAAAGATATCAATGGGTGAAAGAAATGATCAAGGCAACAACACTGCTCAAATCCAAATTATTGCAGGATTTTATACTCCAAACCTTCAAATCCTGAAGCACAGGAGTAACCTACTGCTTTGCTTCTCAGTGTGGCTTTGCCACCATCCTCAGCAAGGAGCAGTTTTTGGGAGGATGTGTTGGGCTGCTAGAACAGTCTGGCTGCAACAAATTAAGGATTTTGAAGAGGAACAGCAATTTCTAGCACTGACACTGCAGCCCAGCAAGGGTGTGATCTTAAATTGAGAGAAGCTTGTTTGTGGAAAGGGTCTTGGAGGGCACATCATCCCCCTCCAAAAGTCCCCCCAGCTAAACATACCCAAAACACAGCACAGACCAATGCAACACCTTCGCATGTCCCTGTGGGTTCTCCTCCCCCTGCATCCTTTTCCCAATCACATCTCAACTTGTAAAGGTCCTTTCTGCAGACTATTAGTGCTGGGTCAGGTATTTCACAGGTCTGTCTGTGCTGAGCACCAAGGACCTTGTTGCAGGGGCTGTGCCAGCACAGCTCTGCCCAGGGGATGTTGGAGAGGGCATGGGGCAACCAAAACACAGGGTCTCTCCACCGTTGGGATGAGGAGGACGGGCAGAAGAAGGACCTCAGGTACCTCTGAAGGTACCTCATGGCTGAGCAGTGTATTTTTCCTCCCACAGGATGCCTGGAGTGATGCCCAGGGGCAGCTCCACATGGATTCACAGCAGGACTATCAGCTCCTTGGGGCTCGGAAGGCTCCTGAGGGGCTCTACCTCCTCTTCAGAAGAGCCTTCAGCACCTGTGACCCCAAGGACTACCTTATTGAGGTACACTCCACTAGAGCACCCCCCCAGTCCTGTCCCAGCCCTGGGACACCAACCTGCATAGTCATACCTGGATTTGGAGAGAGCATCAGGTGTCTGTGCTAAGGCAGAAAGGAAGTGAGCTACAGATGTCAGTCCTGGGACATGAGTAATGTTTGGCACAATCTATTTACAACCCTTCATAAACCTCTATAAAGTGTAGATTTTAGCTCGTTTGCATCATCGGCTCCTGTTCAGCATGTGTTAGGTCTATATAAATACCTTCTGCATCACTCTGGTTTGCAGTCTGGAGCCAACTGTTGGGAGTGTTACAAAGAGGGATTGGTGTATCAACAGGAGGCAGAGGAGGGTTGAGGCAGGAGCCAGAGTGAAGGGACAGCAACTAGACCCATCTCAGTGCTCTTGTGTGTGGCTCAGTGACATCTCTCTGGGTCTGGTTCATCACTGCACTGTGAGATGGGATTTGGGGGAAACTTTCCCAGTGGAGATATTCAACAGCTTCATGGTCTCAGCCATGGACCCCAGGTGCAGGCAGGAATCAGTGCAAGGCTCATCTCAGATGAAAGTCTTTGTGGGCAGGATATTTTAGAGCCAACGTGGGCACAGAGTGTCCTTGAGTTTTTGTTGCTGGCTTTCAAAAGCTTGTCTTGTGGTGAGAAACATCTACTGTCTGCCAAAACACTGAGAGAGCCCTGGAGGAAAAAAAAATGTGTGTGAACCAGGAAAAGACTTGCAGGTCTTTATTCTCTGATCCTGCAAGAAAAGATTATTCTCTTTTTCATTTTGCCCTTATCTCCTGTCCAGAGCTCTCTGCATTCAGTTGTACCTTCTTTGCTTGCAGTAGACTTTCAGCAGAGCTTCTTGTGGTACCACATCACAACAGAAACTGGGAGAAAGAGGATTTCAAGGAGAAGTTCTGGGGCTGGGCTGCAGGGTGGGATGAGCTCTGAATCAATGTGATTGTCCCAGCCTGGAGCTCAGGAGGGATAAGGGGTTCTGAAGGAGCAGAGAGGATGTTACCCTTATGGAACTGATGCCAGCTGGGGAAAACTTTTCAGACTCTCCCAACTGGTAGGGAAACCTCTGTGACCACTTCAGCCAAAGAAATGCCCTGAAATCTATAATCTTGCTGGGACAGCATAGCAAAGTGAGCTACGGATGCAGTCAGGGTGGTTTCTCATTTGGGGATGAGTCAAAAGACCTATTCCTGGCTTCATGCCACCAACACTGGTGCTAATAGCCCATGCAGCTCATGTTCCTGCATGCAAAACTACCTGCTATACTTTGCTCTCTGTTCAGGATGGCACTGTCCACCTTATCTACGGGATCCTGGAGAAACCAGTGCATTCCCTCCAAGCCATCAACATCTCTGCCATCCACGGAGGACTGCAGAGGGTGCAGCTGCTAAAGCCCAACATCACCATTCCTCAACTGCCCAGCAACATGAAGACCATGGAGATAACAGCTCCAGATGTTGTCATTCCCAGCCAGGAGACAACCTACTGGTGTTACATGGCAGAGCTCCCAGAAGGCTTCCCCAAACACCACATTATCATGGTAAGAGGCAGAGGAGGGCTGCTTTCCCCAGGGCAGATCAGCAATCATGTTCACATTCATCCATCCTGCCAAGTCCATCTCTTCCCTGCCCTGTCAAGGGAGGTTTTCAGACTCAGATATTTTCCCCAGCATGGTATCAAAACATCTCCCACCAGCTAGAAGCATCCTTACGTCTCCTAGGGAACCCCAAATCAGAAGTTTCTCAGCAGGAGGTTGCCAGTTGCTGTCTCCACCAGCGCAGACTCAGAGCTGACCCCCTGCAGAAGGCAGAGCTGTAGCCATCAAGGACAGACCTGTAGGATTATGGCACACAGGATTGTATCCACATGAGAAACAAACGAACGGGGCTGTGCAAGAGCAGGGCAGAGTGAGCCAGGATGTGAACTAGCTTCTAAAAATTAAGCATACTACAAAAAAAAAAAGAGTTAAAGACATAAATGCAACTTGTCTGCATTACCCAGACATGTTGCAGGTGCTTGGGTCACCTCCCTCAAAGGAGAGGCAGAAACCTGCTGGCAAACTAGTGCCAAGGAAAGGATGAGCTCCTGGGAGATCATCACCCTGGCAGACACGGAGGTGGCTCAGCAGGTGAAATGGCACTTCCAGAGTCAAAGCCACACAAGGGGGAGAGGGAAAACTTGATACACGAGCCGAAGCGAGTGCTCAGTGATTTATGGGGAGAAACGGCGCTGCAAAGGAAAGATCAGAAGGAGGATTTTCTCTCCAACAGATGGTGTGAAGTGAATCATCTGTGTGTAAGTAAAAAGTGTGTAACTCCTGATACCTTCCGGCTGCTGCAGATCATTTCTACAGCTGGCACTTCTAGCCAGAGCCATTCCTCAGACTTGTTTAAGGCACTCTTTCTACCCCAAATCCCCCTCCCCATGCCCCGAGCAGCTGTTAAAAATAAAACCTCATAGCTGCAGGCAGAGCTCCTGCAACATGACCAGGACCCCTTTTAGGAAAAAGTAATGTCCCCAGGGTCACCTCAGCCCTGCAAAGCTAGTAAAGGACTCAAACATCATGAACCAGACCAAGGTCTTCTGCTGATCAGATGTGTTTGTTGCTGGTGAAGGGATGAGATGTTTCTCTGTGTGTTCTGATGTGCTCTGGGTTGGTCCCAAAGCCAACCAAGAAACCAAATGTTTCCACAACTGCCCTGAATGCTCCTTGGGCACTAATACTATGTCAGTTCCCCTTTGAAGCACCCAGGTGCTTAGTTCTGGCATAACTCCCCTTGGGAGCCAAAATCTAAAGTGAAAGCTCTTGGCCCTTGGTGCCTCATGTCCAGAACAAGCTTCCCTCCCCACCACAGGGCAGAACTGTCTCCCATTCAGTTACAGGTAGCAGACATACCTGGCTTGGCTCCTCGCAGAGCCTACAAGACAGTAGTCCCAGGGATGGACTCTCAGAAAACAGTCTCGGTGTGTCCTGACTCTTGGATCTGCTTTGCAGTATGAGCCAGTGATCACAGCAGGCAACGAGGCTCTGGTCCACCACATGGAAGTCTTCCAGTGTGCTGCTGAGTTCGACAGCTTCCCCCACTACAATGGGCCCTGTGACTCCAAGATGAAGCCAGACAGGCTCAACTACTGCAGGCATGTGCTGGCAGCCTGGGCCATGGGAGCACAGGTGGGTGTGAGATGTGCTCACCAAGCACAACCAACAGCTCAAGTCATGGCCCTCAGCACACATTAGGGGTTAGATTATGGACAGATATTTGCCTTAGGCTTTTCAGCCTTGTCCCCAGAAAAGCCACCCCACTGCTCCTGTAACATTCTCCCTCTGCTTTCAGGCTTTCTACTACCCTGAAGAAGCAGGTCTTGCCTTTGGTGGCCCAGGCTCCTCCAGATATTTGCGCCTTGAGATCCATTACCACAATCCCCTGGTGTTCAAAGGTGAGGGGGGTGCAGAGTGATGCCCAGTGACTCCCCAGAGAGGCTGTGGCAAGAGGGCTGGGGAAATGCCAGAGAGCGATTGCCAGCTGGGGAGGGCTCTGCCCAAAATCATAGCCCTCTTTGCGATTTTCTGGAGACCTGATGCTCCCAGATCTGTCCTAGCAGGAAGAATACATTGAATTCCCACCATACTGCTGCTTTTCTGGTCTCAGCAAAGTCATCCTCACTGTAAGGTGGACTCCATCCTTGTGCACACCCTGGGTGAGGAGGGATGCTCAGGAAAGGAGTCTGACTGAGCCTGCAGGCAGAAATCTGCCCCTACAGAGCTTCTGCAGGGATGAGATCCAAGGCAACACCAGTATTTGGTTGGGCTGTCTCAGGGTGTCCCTCCAACATCTGTTCAAGGTGGTGGTGGTGGGTCTGAGCTCAGAGCAAGAGCAGCAGTGTGCCAAGTCACCAGAGAGACAGCAGCAGCCTGGGGGGGATGGGGGGGGGAGATGTGGATGTTGTTTTACTGTACTCCTGCTTCGATAACATTGTCAGGAGACACATTGGGGGAAAAAAAAAAGGATTCCAAACAACCAGTTTCTTCATTAACATAAAAACAAGTAGCTTCTTGACTACCCAAGTATATTTTTAGGAAACCAGAGCATATGTACTGTAGATCAATCATAGCACATTCGGCAAGTTGAGAAGAAACACATCTATAAATACGGAGCTCAAGTCTTTCATAATTTATCTGCTTTTGCATGTTAACCAATAGTGTCTCCCCTGTTATTCTTATCCCTGGGTGGGCTCCAGCCCGGAAACAGGGAGGTCAAAGCCAGCCTGAACCTCTTCTGACCTACTGACCCTGCCCTTGTGCTTTGCTTGCATGGCCTTAGATTTCTGGATGCTAAAGAAGGCGCAGTGAGCTATATCTCTGAGGGAGTTCTCCAAAGCAGCTCATGCTATGTCCTTCTGCTTTGGGCTCTCCAAAGACACTGCTTACCTTTCTCTCCTAGGAGCAATTCAACCTCAGGTTGGTGACCTCTGTAGGGAACTAGGAATGTGTCTGGGACCCTCAGTAAAGACTTGCAGGAAAGTGTCTAGGATTTTAAACAGCAAGAACCATACAGATGAAGAAAGCTGTGATGCTGATGTGCATCTCTCCACTGCGGCACAGCATCGTTTTTCACACCTGACCTTGTCCCTGAGGTGACTTGTCCTTGTCCTCTCCCTGGCCAGGTCGCCGTGACTCCTCAGGGATTCGCCTCTACTACACAGCCACACTGAGACGCTACGACGCTGGAATCATGGAGCTGGGCTTGGTCTACACACCAGTGATGGCCATTCCCCCAGGCGAGGATGCTTTTGTCCTCACAGGCTATTGCACTGACAAATGCACCCAGCTGGTGAGTGCCTGTCCTCTCTGCCCTGGCTTCACCTTGGAGAAGAAAGGTTCAACACGGCTTTTCCCCAAGTTCCAGGCAGCACTGAGCTCCAGGCTCCAAATTCCCAGTTTTAAACTTACCATGAGGTTATGCTGAAAAGAAAAAATCTGCTGTGTACAACAAACAGAGAGCAGCTGGTTGGGATGTGCTGAATCCCCTTCGAAGCAGCTCTCCTGGGGAGCCATCTGCTCCAGCTCCCTGGGGTACCATTCCCATAAAACTTACTGCCGATCTGGCTGTGTCCTGGTGGTGCTTTCCCCCACAGGGATGGGAAAATTGGCTTCTGCTTTCAAGGAGCTTGCCAAGAGCTCTCTCAAAGACGGTTCCAAAATGCCCACCTTGCTCTCAAGGATGTTTTCATAGGGCCTAGCCAAAAGGAATCATTTGTGCCATTGCTAAGGAATGCAGGGAAGCAAACAACATCCGACTCAGCTGCTCCTGCTGACTTAGAGCCTTAGTTTGGCAGTGAATTGTGAGTCTGTCCCTCTGCAAGGAGCCCACTGACACGCTGCACAAGGGTACAGGGAGCCCATAAATCCCCATGTGAGAGCCAGCCAGGGACAGCTGGTCCCCAGCACACAGCAAGGGGAGGGGAGGGAAGAGGGATGGGGTTGGGCACAGGGGTTTGAGTTGTCCTTCCCCCAGGCTCTGCCTGCTGCTGGCATCCGCATCTTCGCCTCCCAGCTCCACACTCACCTGGCAGGAAGAAAAGTAGTGACAGTGCTGTCCAGGGATGGGAGAGAGAGGCAGGTCGTGAACTCTGACAGGCACTACAGCCCTCACTTCCAGGTATAGAGAGCTGCATGGGCAGGGGGGTCCTGGCTGCATGTCACACGTGCCACTGCCCTGGGCACAGAGCCATGGCATTGCCCTGATGTGACCCCTTTCCTTCTCTTCCAGGAGATCCGCATGCTGAAGGAGGTGGTTGCAGTTTTTCCAGTGAGTTGCACCAGAAAACGTGGCAGTTTCCAAACAGCACACCCTGACCCCCTTGTCTCCTTCCATCACCCCATCCCCTCTCAGGACCTCCTGGGGGGCTGCAGGAGGACACACTCCCTGTGGTCCCTGGGTCATATCTGCCACCCCCACACAGGTGCCTTGGGGACACCAGGGCCCATCTCATATGGCACAAAACTGGTGTGTGGGCAGCCAAACCGTGCTGGGAACTAAATTAAGCACTTCATTTAGCTGGGCTTCGTCTAGCAGAAGGAGGCTCCTCAGGGGGTGAGGATGAACCATGGAGGTGCCCCCTTTCCTTGCTTGGTAGAAGAAGAGGAAGAGATTTGGCATCAGTGGTGGGAGAAGGTGGTAAAACAGAGGTGGAACATGCCCCTGGGGCCTTTTAGGTGAGGAAGAACCTGGCTGCAAAGCTCAGGGCACCTACAGGAGCTGCTGTGCCCCATGAGGCTGCTCAAAACACTCAGCACCCATTGAAACCATACCCGGGGTTATACCCTAGGGTGTCCTCACAGTCCTCAGCACTGACTGTGGAGGGAAGGACTTGTGCCATCAAGTTGGGAACAGATTTGGCACCTCAAACTGTTGCCTGAGTGCATTTTTTTAGGTGTTTCAGCCCTGCAGAAATTGTTAAAAAGCGAGGAAAGCAGGAAACACCATCCGTGGGATACAGCCCCAGGGAATCTCTGCAGGGGATGCAAGTTTAGCAAGCACTCTTGTGGCATCACAGACAGTGCTGCTGGGGAAACAGGCTGCTGGTATGGGGAGCAGAGATCTGCTATGTTGCACTCTCCATTCCCCAAATTTTCCTGTGTTTGAACCCTCCAGGGCGATGAACTCATCACCACCTGCACATACAACACAGAGGACAGAAGCAGAGCCACTGTGGTGAGTGGGGATAGCTCATCTGCCTGTGTGGTCCTGAGGTGTGTTTGCACCCCAGGGTTGGGAGCACTCCCAGAGTGGGCACCTGCATGAACCCAGGCTGAATCACAGCCAGAAACCAGAGACAGAGCAGGAAGGGACCTCGCAAGGCTCTGCTGCCTGCAGCAGGGATGTTAAGGTGCTAATTGTAAAGTAGCATGTGTCACTCTAATTCCCATCACAAACTGTTCCACCAGGGATTAATTGTAATTAAAGAGAAGTGGCATTTTTTGACAGTGCATGTTATTTTCTTACATAGGCAGCAAAAGAAAAAAGAGCCTGTCAGAGGTACTATCAACAGGGACAGAGCTAAATATAGCAGAGGGATTATAGAAAATCTGCATTTTAATGTAAACCACACGGTCTAGCCTGGAAGTCTGTCCTTGTACAAAGGGCAGACAAGCAGAGTGCTTGTCCTTCCCATGCACCTGAAGGGATGTGTATATCTACATCTACATAGATAGATACAGATTATAGCTATAGATAAAAATACAGATTATAGCTATAGATATAAGTGTGCACATAGAGGTGTAAGCTTTGTGCCTCTCTGCCCATGCATCCCTGGCAGGGCATAGCAGACCCTGCTGCCATCACCTTTGTGTCTGTGCTGCAGGGAGGGTTTGGCATCCTGGAAGAGATGTGTGTGAACTACGTGCACTACTACCCCCAGACACAGCTGGAGCTGTGCAAAAGTGCTGTGGATCCAGGTTACCTACACAGATACTTCAACCTCGTGAACAGGTAACTCCCTGCACAGTGGGACTGAGGGACCACTGCAGAACCCTTGGCTGGCAACACTGGAAAAAAAGGCAAACCCAAGATTTTAAGGATGACAGTGTAATGAGAACAGCCAGGAAGGCAGAGCAGTCCTGGGGTGGGATTTCTTAGCAAGAGTCAGTGCGTGACCAAGTGTTTAAGTGCAGAATATTCCCTTATAACCCAAGGCAGACACCAAGCATCCCTGCCAGAGAAGCAGGATGCAGCCCATCCACCCAGGATGAGGGGGGAGATGCTGACCTTGCACAGGGTGTCCTACCCACAGGCACTAGGCTGGCCTCAAATCCTCCCCTGCAGGTGCTGGCTGCTCTAGGCTCTCCTTGTGCCCATCACTGACTTCAGAGCCATTCCAGGTCAAGCTTTAGGAAGGAAGGAATTAGTCACAGCCAGAGCTGAGAGGGGAGAGCACTGCTGTGTTTCAGTGTGGCATTTCTCCTGCCCAGGTTTAACGACGAGGAGGTCTGCATGTGCCCACAGGTCTCTGTCCCACAGCAGTTCTTCTCCATCCCTTGGAACACGTTCAACAGGGATGTGCTGAAATCCCTCTACAGCTTTGCTCCCATCTCCATGCACTGCAACAAATCCTCTGCCGTCCGGTTCCCGGTATGTACAGCCTCACTTCCCAACAAAACTCCCAGCTGTAGGTAAAGAGCAGCTTGGCAGAGCTGTGCCAAGCACACAGGTCAGGTCTCTGGTGCTGAGGACACATCCAAATCCAGTGGGATGTGGGCAGGAAGCTGGAGCTGCCAGGAGAACCTTGGCATCAGCAGGACACCGAGCCCAGCCCACCCTGGTGCTTAAACAATCCATCCAGAACCCACCGTGGATATGCCCAGCCAGATTCAATTAGGAGCTGCATTTGCATAAAGTGATTTGGAGGCTGCTTTTGCTGAGCATTAAAGCAGGGCCAGCTCCAGATCCAAGGAGAAACGTGAGGTGGTTTTTAGGATTTTGGCAAATCACATCAGGTCCCAGCAGAGAGAGCTCATTACGCACAGCATCTGTGCAGCCTCCAGACGCAGTGATCCAGCAAAATGTGGAGGATAAAGGACTGAGAGATCTTTAAAGAAAAAAAACGGGCCTAGTGACAAGGGTCATGACAGAGATGATGATGAAGATTTAAACCTACTGATGGCATCAGCTCCCAATGCCATTTATCAGTGTAATAAACTTAGATGATACCCTATTCCTGGATCCAGCACTATCCACTGCAGCACAGGAGGATGCCAAGCTGATTGCAGGGATGATCATCAGCTTTCTGCCCCTTTAGCAAAGTCTGGAGGTGGCAGAAACTTTTCTTGTTCCCTGCAACTGGAGACTTGGTACCTCTTGGCCATGCAGAACTCCACTGCAGGGACAGGAGTGGTGCAGAAGTTTAGTGCAGCAGCAGAATTATGAATTAAACTTCTTAATTATGGCCCGGACAACTCTCTTGATTTCAGAGAGAGGACTCAGGAAGGGACTCAACCAGAGCAAAGCCAGTGCCAGCACAAAGTGGGTCAGGAGCATCACAGCAAGGGCGAAGGAGCTGAGCTGCCCCTCTGCTCTGCTGGTGTTTCAGAGCGAGCCTGACTTTGAGACATCTCATTTATTCCATACTGTTTCTGCCAAGAGAAAAGCACCAGCTTCTAATTAAGCTCATGTTTTTGCAGTTCAGTGATCCCAAATCTGACGATTTCTGGAAGGAACTGAGTGCTGTTAATTATCAAGCAAAATCTCAAGGTAGCACTTGTGAGTGGCAGCAGGGACAGTGCCATTCCCCAAGTCCCTGAACCCACAAGGGCTTCCAGTAAATTCTCTATATTCAGATTTCCACTCAAAAGAACTGAAACCCACAACTACTGAGACACTCCAAATGCCCCTGCTCTATGTGAAAAGCAGGCACAGGGTTTGGGATGTATATCAGCAGGGCAGATGCCACAGCAGATGGGATCAGGGCTGGAGCTGAGCCCTGGAGCAGGGGCACCCTAAGCTTCCTTAACTGCTCCCCTAAGCCATGAGGGCACAGGAGAATAGCCATTTCTCCAGTTGGTGCTCCCTTGCAATGCTGTCCCATCTCTGGTCGCTCCCCATGAGCTTTGGGAAAGTCTTTCCATCCCTCTCCAACTTTCTCCAGGGTTTTCCTGGTGCTGGTGCAGCCTCTGTCCCATTTCGCTTGACATATCACACGAAATTTCAGCTGAAAACATAAATTCAACTTTCATCTTGCTGATGATTCATGGCTCTACCTCTCCTCTCCAGACCTCCCTCCTCCTGCTCACACTGTGGCTCAGCCTCTCGCTGACATTTCTGCATGAGCACACAGCCAGCAGCCAAACTGTAGCATCACCAAACCAGAGCTGAGCCCAGGCTGAGCCTCCCTTCACCCTCAGAGCCCCTGCCCACATCTCCACCAGCCACTGACCCAGACCAACACGTCACATCTGAGCTAGATCCTGCTCGGCAGGCTCAGCCCTCGGCTCTGCCTGGACCTGGCAGATTGCTGTTTGCAGGGAGCATCCCCAAGACAAGGTGCCTCCATGCATGCACAGAGCTGGGGGTTTTGTCCAGGCCGTGGTCACCCTGAGCTTTGATGGCTGTGACAGCTCTTCCCCAGCTCTTCCTCAAAGCACCTCACCGTGGCAGCTGCATCCCTCTTGTTCCAGCAAGTGTACAAGAACTTCCATGCTGGAATGCTGCAAATTCCTGCCAACGCCTGGTAGAGGGTGTTTTTTTTCAGGCCTGGTGGGACTTCCTGGCTTGAGTTGCCTTCATCTGATTTGGTGGCTAACACTTTTTGGGGCAGCAGCATCCTAATCATGGTGGGTTTGTGAAACATGGTGCACCTCAGATATCTGTGCTGCTAAGAGGATGTGTAGCTGCTCCTGCAACACAAATAATAGTAACACCCCGTAAGGAAACATCCTGGTTTGGGCTAAAAGCACTTCAACTATTACAGCTCATTTCATTTTTACAAGCAGGGAGAAAAACAGTCTCCAAGTAGCTGAAACTCAAGGCTTGATCTCATAGTGCCAAACTCTCTTGCAGGGCGAGTGGGAGAAGCAGCCACTTCCCATCATCACCGAGAGGCTGCGAGCGCCTGTCCCTCACTGCACACCCACCCCAGGGCCTCAGCCTGCTACCCCTGTCCCCCTCAACCTGGGCAAGCTCAGGAGGGACTGACAAAATTCCCATTCCTTCCATCACAACAGGAAGAGCATCCAGGCAGGAGCATCCATGGGGAACATCCTGTCACTCTCCCAGCATCCTGCCCACACAGCGATGCCACCCTGTCCCCTGTCTCCAGAGGGGGTTAGGGCTCATGAGCTAGAGTTCAGAAAGTACTCTGGAGATGGAAAGTGCTATATTTAGTGTGTGATTAGCAATCCTGGCTCTGAGTAATGCTGCTTTCCACCCCCGGAATAATAATGTGGAGGTTTGCTATTGTGCCAAACCCAGCACGGCCCCAGGGAGGGGGGAAGAAGTTTGTTTTCCTGCAGGGAAACTGAGGCATGAGGCAAAGATCTGTGTGGGAGTAGCATACAAGCCTTCCCAGTGCCCCAAGGTTCTATCTAGCTCAGGATGGCTCCACAGTTGCTCTCCCATGCTGGGAGCTGTGGCAGGGATGGAGGAGGAATGCCACAACTCCCACCTGGCTCTTGCCTCCCCACTGCAGGGACTGCAGCTCCCCATCATGCTCCTTTCCCCATTCCCCTGTGCTGGGGATTATTCCTCTGGATGCCACCAGATGCCAATGGCTGGGAACAAATGATACCTCTGTGATGGGCTTCAGAAAAGGGGAGGGATGGGGGAGGGAAGAGACATGGGGTGGGAAATGACAAATCTTTTGTCAGGAAAAAATCACTCCATTAAATACCTAAATGTAAAAGAAATTGCTTTTGGCTGTTTAGCTCCAAAGGGAGAATACTCAGGAGGAGCAGAGTTGAGGCTGGAAGTACTGCAGGAGAGCCTATGTCTGTCCCAGATGGGTAGCCCCCAAAACTTGCCTTCTGACCAACTTAGGTGTAAGGCAAATCTCAGGTTAAGACCACTGCACATCAGAAAGGCCTTTTTAGGCACAGAGTGGATCTCTGGCTCAGCAAGGAGGCAATATGCTCATTCCCTTGGGACAGGACTGTAGCCACCCCCTCCTCCTGCCAGAGGGAGGGCAATCACCTCCTATTCAAGAGAAAAAATCATCTCAATCTTGGGTTTTAATGTTTTCAGCAAAACCAAAGCATTTCAGAGTTCACGCTCTTGCCCGTGGCGCTTGTGGCACGAGGTCGAGGAATTGAAATCAGCTCTAAAGAGGGTATGAACCAAGCAAACCTAGTCAAGGGAAATAAAGAGGAAAGCATGGAGTGAGATTATTTCTTCAGGCGGGTGAAAGCTTCAGCAGAGATCAGGTCCTTGCTGTGCCCAGCAAGGAGACCAGAGCAGGGGATGATTATGGGAACGGGATGGGAGTCGCTGACCCTTCCCTTTAGCTGTGAGGGTTCCCAGGCTGTGTGCATGTGATGGAAAATCTTCCATCAATGCCTCCAAGACTGGCTCTGTGCTGCCAGAGGCTGTGGCTCAGCCTCTGTGGGCATCCTCCTCTCCATTGGGAGCTAACAGGAGCCACCTCCAAGGTGACCTTTGGGAAGATGCCAGCAGAGCTGAAGGGACCTGAGAGCTGCCAGCAGATGAGACCAAGGTGTTGGTGCCCTGGTTGACCAGCTTACACCACAGCACTGAGCTGGTCCTACCTGTGCCAGGAACAGACCAAAGGTTGTGGATTCCACATCCCTGGAAGTGTTGGATGGGACTTGGAGCAACCTGGGCTAGTGGAAGGTGTCCCTGCCCATGGTGGGGGCATTTGGAATGAGATGAGCTTTAAGGTCCCTTTCAATCCAAACCACTCTGTGATTCCATGATTCTGTGACACACAAACAGCACTGGCAGACAAGAACTCTGCTCCTTCCCTCCACAGCCTTCACGACTGCTCCCACCCTAGCACCAGGTCCCCAGGGCACAGTCAAGATGAGGTGACACTCATTGGAGCAGGGACAGACACATCAAGGGACCAGAGGGATGGCAAGTTTGGAGGCTACAGCTGTATTATCAGCAGAGTTAGTTAAAAAAAAA